GATCCAGGAGGAAGGAGCTCAGAGACCTCTGAAGGTCTGCTCTGCCCTGGGCAGCTGACAGCTGGAAGCCTCTCATCCTGATTCTGGTCCCAAAATTCCAGCCTGATGTGTGGGGGTACTGGCATGTCAATGTGCACAGCACTTCAGAGCATGAATGGAACTGCACAGCAAGAATGGGATCCCTCCCATCCCAGGGAGGATACTGGGAATACCAGAGCAGGCTAAGGGGTTGCCACAGGGCTAGGGAAAACAAGGAGAGAGGAGGAAGAGTGGGATGGAAAAGCAGATTTTTACAGTCCTCCCAGAAGTGCAGGTTTGACATGAATTCCTCCACCACCCCTACCCACATTCTCTGGGCAGCTTTGCTCTTGCTCAGGTTTTGGTGACATTGGAGTCAGTACCAGAGAGCATCTGACAGAAATGCCCATGGAAGGGGCACAGGAGAGAGGGGGAGCCAAGGTGGCTGAGGCTGCAAGGCAAGACAGCTCCCAGGGACATCAAGACAGAGTGGGTAGAGCAAGAAAGCTTCAAAATGCCAGTACTGCAGTGTCCTACAGCACACACTGCTGGGAGAGCTGGCTCTTGGCTGAACTCCTCAGCACTAACTGAGCAGGGAGTGAGTTTATCCTGTCCTGGCCTTCTGAGAGACTCATGGAACTGGTGAGAGAGGGATGCCAGTTGTCCTTAGTCCTTGCCCTCCCGAGAAGCACCAACCTGTGCCTGCTTTGGCAGCTCGCTGGAAGAAATTCTGTTCATTGTATATCCTCCCATCTTTGGCATCCTAAAGGGAACAGGAAGGAGGAGCATTATTTCAGCCACACACATCCTGCTGGAAAGGGCAACTTGGGCAAGATTGCTACGGGACCTCCACTAACTGTTTTAAAGAGCACAGTGTCCCCCCCTAAAAAAATTAGCAGAGCTCAGGTGCTTTGGTTCACTCTCCAGTGCTGCCCCTAACAACCACATAAACTCTCAGCATCAGCACAGAACAGGGGAGTGGCTGTCTCGGGTGGGGCCTTTCCAGCAGTGCCATTTACAGCTGCCTGTGGGTGAAGGACAGCCAGGCACTGCAGCCCATCTGGCAGCCTGGAGTGAGCTCTAGTCCCAAAGCTGTTACATTAAAGGGAGCCAGAGGTGACCTTCTAGTCACAGCAGGGATGAGGGCATTTCTGCAAACAGGCAAAACTCAACAGAGAGCTGTAACACTTCAGTCTAGCTGTCAGAAAATGAGACAAGTTAAAATGTCTGTATCTGTGATATTTAAGACATTGGTGCCATTGAGTGACCTCAAATGCATAGTTTACATTCAGTATGCCTGTGTTTGCCTACACACATGTAGATATTCAACACACAAACTGACTCAGGACAGCTGCTATCATGCACAGGAGGAAGCAGAAGAGTTATATTCTAGCTGGTTTGATACCAAACTGGAGGATCAGCAGGCTTCAGACAACACAGAGGCCATGTCCCAGAGGATATTTCACTCTGCACCTTGCCTGGTGAGCCCATCTGAGCCTTAAAATGCTCTCCTGTGCCTTATCACACTCCACAGTGCTTTGCAACTATAAGGGCTGGGCTGTGGCATCAGCAGACTACCAAGCAAAATGCCAAAAGACGTCAAAAAGTGCAAAACAGAGGAGTTGGGAATGCTGCCTACAGAAGTGATTACAGTTTCCCAGCTAGTGGTTCTAGTTTTGTGGCACTTAGCTGTCTTTTCTCATCAACACTGTATTTCTCCTCCATCCTCTTACATGTCTCCTCTGACAAAAGGCAGAGTGATTACTGAAGTGCCTGCAAGAGCCCTATACACCATCCATCAGCACCGGCCCTCCCACAGACCAGCAAAGCCCAAAAGCCACAGCAGACAAGGAAACAGTCTTTCTGCTCTAGTTTGTGAGCTACTGAAAATCAATCCTGAATTTCCACCACAGAACAGCTATTCCTGGAAATGACACACTCCTGGAGAACCCAAGGTATTGACAAGTGCCTGGAGAGCTGGCTCAGAACTCCAACTATAATTCCTGTTTGCTTTGAAAGTGTGCTCTGGCCTGATGGAGTATCTCCATGCTGGCTTGTCAGCACAGCACCAAGTTCCAACCTCTCCAGTCTCCCCAGACCTCAGCCATACAGGGGAAAAGTTGGTCTGACATTCCTGAATCGAGATCTTCACCTCACACCACCCAATTCAGTTCTGGAGGTTACTGAGCCTGGCAGACCAAGGCAGCAACTTTCTGTGATTAAGGCTTTTATTTTAATCCTCATATCTATTTCCTTAATATCTTTAGTGGAAGGGCCAACCTGTACTGAACTCCAAGCATAGCACCCTCAGGAGGTTACATCCATCCCTAAGCTGGAAGGGGCCTGTGTGACCACTCCCTCTGAATTCCTGGGACACTCCCAGCCAAACAGGTCAGGACACAGTACTCTATGCACTATTCCTTACCCAAACAGATCAAAACTCACAAGTTTGAGGGAGTAGCTTTGCTTTTGAGGGCAGGTTCCAGATGCTGACTGCGCTGTGGAAGGATGGAACAGATGTGGTTACAGGAGCACGGAAAAGAGGTTCTGCATCATTAAATGCAGCCTGTGCAGCTGGATTTACTCATCCTCTGCTTCTTTCGCTTGGGCTTTGCAAAGCATCCTCTGTGACAGTGCCTTCCCAGATCACTACAAAATCATTCTTACCTTGCTCCAGGAGCTCAGCACCCTGACATGCTGCGAGTGCAGTTCTGCTTAAGTCACAGAAGCATCTGGGCATGGCTACAGTAGTGGGGGGCTTTGAGGGGTATGTAAAGAACAAATCATTAGTGGAATCTCAAAGGCACCCCCAAATTCATTTGCTGAGCATTCCCTCCAGCTCACTCTGTGGTAAGAGATGCCGAAGTCCCTCTGCTCTGTATGGATGTTAGAGTTATATGTGGCCTCGTTTCTCCAAAAGGATTTGCACCCATGACTTGGCCTCGGGGCAGTTCCTCTTCTGTTCTTAGACCAAGTGCTATACACAGGTCACCCAAAACTTGTATCTATAAAAGCACCCTCCACTATTGATTTTCACTTTTATCACATCTTTTTAAAAACCTAGATGGATGCTCAGACTTTGTTATGCAACAGCTTAAGTAATGAAAAAGAAAGTAAAGCCAAATATCAGGCAAAACTTGGTCATGGAGAAAACTCTCCCTGTACAGTTTCCAAGTTAACAACAGAGAATAAGATCAAAAATTCCCCTTCAGAAGTTTACAACTAGACTGGAGAGAAAGGATCAGCAGTCACTAAATGGCTGAGTAGCAGTACACATGATATAACTGCTTTCTTTTAGCCCACAAAATAGGCTACAGAATACAGAACTGACATTTAGTGGATACTGACACCACCTACAACACAGAACTCTCATACAGTGCTGCTGGCAGTTAGGTTTTGGACCTAAAAAACCAGAAAGAGGAAGCATGGCCCCTAATGACAGGGATTTCCTCATAACAGAGCAGCCAGGCCTCGGCTCAATCCTGTTATCAGTGGCAGAATCACTGACGGTGGATGCCCAGCGAGAGAATGGCATGAAGCTGTATCAGGGCAAGGTTAGGCTGGATCTCAGGAAAAGGTTCTTCCCCCAGAGGGTGGCTGGGCACTGAACAGGCTCCCAGGGCAGTGGGCACAGCCCCAAGGCTGCCAGAGCTCAAGGAGAGTTTGGACAACGCTCTCAGGGCCAGGGTGGGATTGTTGGGGTGTCTGTGCAGGGCCAGGAGCTGGACTGGATGATCCTTGGGGGTCCCTTCCCACTCGGGATATTCCGTGAATGCCGGCCCCTGCCGGCCGGTGGATCACTGCCAGCCCGGCAGACACTCAGTGTCACCCCAATGCCACCCCCTCTACGGTTCTGGGGGTTTAGGGACGTCCCGACAGCCCCCTCCGAACCCACAGCCGGGGACAGGCCCCCCCCCACCGCCCCCGTCCCTCCCCGGGCCCCACAGCACCTTCGTACAGCAGCCCGCAGCCGCCCTGCTCCAGCAGCCGCCGCAGCCGCCAGCGCCGCCCGCCCTGGTCCGCCAGCACCGTGTCCGCGGGGAGCGGCGCGGCCGGGCCGGGCCGGGGCTTGCGGGGCGAGCGGGGCCCGGGCCGGGCCGCCCGCGGGGAGGGGGCGGCGGGGCTGGGGGCCGGCGGCGGGGTCGGCGGGGCGGGCTCGGCGCGCTCCTCCTCGGGCAGCTCGGGCAGCCTCCCGCCGCAGGCCGGGCAGAAACGGAACGCGGGCTCCACGGCGCGCCCGCACTGCGGGCAGAACCGGCCGGGCCTGCGGGACACTGACAGCGTTACCGCCCGCTCCCGCCCCGCGCCCGCCGCCACCCCACGCCCGCCGCCGCCGCGCTACGCACCTCGGGGAGCCGCCGACCGGCCCCGCCCGCGGCCGCTCCGGGGTCGGGGTCCGTGTCGGGGTCGGGGTCCGTGTCAGGGTCCGTGTCGGGGTCGGGGTCCGTGTCCCGGCCCCCGGCCCGCGCCGCCCGCGGACCCGCCGCCCCCGCCCCGACATGGCCCGGGCCCGCCCGCCGCGCCAACAACCGCGCATGCGCCGGGAGCGGCCCGGCCCGGGGGGGGCACCGGGCTGTGAGGGGATATTGGGATGTGAGGGGACACCGGGGTGTGAGGAATTATTGGGGTGTGAGGGGACACCGGGGTGTGAGGAATTATTGGGGTGTGAGGGGACACGGGGGTGTGAGGAATTATTGAGGTGTGAGGGGACACCGGGGTGTGAGGAATCACCAAGGCTCTGAGGGGACACTGGGGTGTGAGGGGACTCCAAGCTTTCATGGGACACTGGAGCTGTCAGAGGACATCGTGGCTCTGAGGGGACACGGGTACTGTGAAGGGATACCTGGGGCTTTTTGGGGACATCAGGGCTCTGAGGGGACACCAGGCTTTGAGGGGACACGGGACTCTGAAGGTCCTCTGGGAGGGCACTGGGGCTCTGAGGGGACACGGGGGGCTGTGCGGGGGCTGTGAGGGGACAGGGCTCTGAGGGTGCTCTGAGGGGACACGGGAGGCTCTGAGGGGACTCTGGGGCTGTGAAGGGACTTTGGTGCTCACAGCGGTCCCGTGGCCCATGGGCTCTCCCTGCCGGGCCGGGCAGGTCAGGCCACCCTGGGCCGGAGATGGGGAAGGAGCCTCAGGGGTCCCCTCCAGCCATGCCCCCAGCGCTGCCTTCCAGGCTCTATGTTTGCTCCCTACTTCAGAAGAGATACCAGAAAGCTGCTTAGAAACGGCCTTGGGACTGTGGGACAGGAGTGTGGGAGTTAATGTGTGGCACAGGGCTGGGTTGAGTACCTGTATTCAGTGTTTGCTTCTGCGTATCCCATCCCCTGGGTACATTCTACACCTATAAACCTCAATCAGGCACCAATGTACTTCTATAAAAGAGGACTTAAACCTTTTCCTTCAGGTGGGCTGAGGCCAGAGTTTGCCTGGGGAAGGTGCCAGGCCCCTGACCCCCCAGGGCAAGGGGCAGCAGGGGGCAGTGGGGACCCGGAGTTTCCTGTCCCACGTGTAACAAGGTTGTTTTTCAAAGCCTGTCCCAGTGAGCCATGAACACCACAGCCTGGGCTGTGAGCAGGAGGCAAAGGGGATCTGGAAGGAAGTTCGTACCATGAGGAGCTGAGTGGAGCAGCCGCTCCCACCAAAGCTCAGCGGGAAGCAGGAGTGAGCAGCAATGAAATAACCTCTGGGGTGTGACCCCCTGACTGAGCTCACCATAGAGCTTCAGGGCTTGGAAGAGGTGTCTCCAGACCAGGTGTCCTGCACAGACCTTATCCTGCTGGTTGCCCCTTCCCAACTGCTCCCAGTTGTTTTCCTAACATTCACTAAGCACACAGAAAAGTCCCAGGAAAGACACAAGTCTGCCAAATGACTCTGGGAAGCTTAGCTGGTGTTCGAGTTGGTTTCTGCAGCCTGTTTCTTGGATTTTTTTTAACCAACTGAACACTGTCAGGAGCAACAGGACAGGCTGGAGGGGTTCTCCCATTCCTTCCCACCACATGCATTGGGACACTGTGCTCCACAGTCACTCTTTTCTTTCCTCTGGCATTGCAGGTGGCAACAGGGCTATGCTGAACTGCCTCACTTCACTGCCACGCCCCTGCACAACCTCTTCAGTTCCAGTAATTCCCACATCCCATGCAGGTATAGATGCAATTCCTTTGTTAACCAAAGCATCCTCAAAATTTTGACAGAAAAGAAACGGCCCTTCATCACATTGGTTTGAATTTTTCTCTACAGGTTGGTGGGTGGTGTTTTGTCTTTCCCTAATTCTTGAACCAAGATCATTGTCCCAAAGCTCTCTGCAGTGACCAGTGGCTCAGCTGGGAATGCCTTGGTCCAGCAGATTTATTAACCCTTTTTAACTTTTCAAAGCTGTTAATTCATGATCATGGCTCTATAATTTCGTTGGTGGTTGCCTAGGGAACAGTGATCACGACTTGATTACATTCAATTTGGGCAGTGAAGAATCCATTCAGTAAACAGAAATATAGGATACTTTAAAAAGTCAAACCCCATAAAGACAAGAAAAACTGAGAAAAAGCAGTGATGGGGAAAGGCAGATAGAAAATTGTAGTAAAAGGCAATTCCTTAGGATTTATTTCAAGAGTCACCAAGCCAACACCAGAGAAGAGAAAGCCCACCCTACTTCAGTGGTGAATTGAAACTATTAATTAGCAATAAAGAAGGCGACCATAACAAATGGATGAAAAGGGAAATAATTAACAATTTTCTCTATTCCATAACTGGTAATTTGCATCAGCAGGGTGAGCTAGGTGCCTGCAGTCACTCTGTAGGGAATTGTGTCCCTGGCATTGCACCTCCCAGCTTGTCTCAGCAGGAATTTGCTCCCTCATTCCTGCCTCAGGCATTGAAAACCAGCCTGGATTTTGGCTGCAAAGGGGTCGGGTTCCTGGAGAGCCTCTGGAGAGCAGGATGGAGCAGATCCCAAGGTCAAACTTTAGTGCCTTGAATCTTCAGGCTCTCAAATCCATGGGTAAGCGTGTGAGCTTTAACCCTGTGGTGTCCCAAAGGGCTGTCAGGGGATGCAGGAATGGGGGAGGAACTGGGGAGCTCCTGGGGCTGGTCCTGGGGCCAGTCCAGGCTCTGGACCCTGGGGAAGTGCCATGGGATGGGAGTAAGACCAGGGTGGGGAGATCTGGGCCTGACCAAAGGCTGAGTCAGAGCCAGCAACAGAGATTTGTCTTTGTCCTCCTCAGCCAGGAGTGGCCTGGGAGCATCCTGGACTTCCCACAGCCCCGGCAAACCAACCGTCTGTGTGTTCCCTTGTTCCCTCTGGATCCATTTCCATGCTGGATCCCCACGGCAGAGACAGCCTCCCACAGCGTGGTCATGCACTGTTTGGGAAGTGCTTCCTGTTGGTCTGAGCCAGCTCCAGCCCTGTGCTGTTCCTTGAGGCTCTGCTCTAGGGAATGAAATGTTTCCCCCTCAGTGACCCCTTGCAGGTCTCTTCTCTGCCAGGCTGTGACATGCACCCAGCCCGTCCCCCACTGTTAATACACCTTACTGTCCTGAAGAGCTTTAGGAGAGAGATTTTGTTCAAGTTTTGCAAAAATTGCTGTTTATATTTGATCTGATCCACCATTATTTACATATTCCATGTTGTTCTAGCAAGAATTCCCTCCTCCAAGCCTTGCTGGATGTTGCCTCAGCACTGCATGTTCTTTTGTACATGTTCTAATGCCATATTTTCTTCCATCTTCCAGCATATCTGACAGGTACCAAAGCCAGGTTTAAGAGTCCAGTGTTTCCTGGATCTTTTGGAGCCCTTCCTAGAAATCAGCCTGGCCTTTGCCACCTCTCCCCCGGTTTGGGAAGGTCAGGGACCTGCTGCCTGTGTCCTGCTGCAGGGTCTGCCCTGAGCACGTGTAGTTTTTCAGCAGAATTCCCACTTCTGATGTGTTTGCAAAATACACTGCTGTTAATTCTTATGTGGTAAGCGAATTACACTCAAAATATATTTTCATCTCAGTTAATGCTGTTTTTAGCTTGTGAGGAATTTGCATCTTTTGCTGTTTTCCTGGTTTGAAATAGATAATGCTAGTTTTTGCAGAATTTTTATTTTATTCCATTTTAGTTTTACTACTTATTTGTGTTTTGACTACCTTGCTTTCCTGTTAAACCATCCTCCTGCTGATTCACCACGGTATTTATTGCATTAGGATCTGTTTTGTAGGAGCCACACATCCACACAGGCTAGGCAGTGTCTCCCTGTTTTTTGCAAGTATTTTCCTCTGTATTTCATTGAGTCACAGAATACCAAACTGATTTGGGTTGGAGGGGACCTCAAAGTTCATCTTGTTCCACCCCCTGCAGGGGCAGGGACACCTTCCACTAGCCCAGAATGCTGCAAGCCCCATCCAACCTGGCCCTGGACACTTCCAGGGATGGGGCAGCCACAGCTTCTCTGGGCAACCTGTGCCAGGGCCTCACCACCCTCACAGAGAAAGATATACCTCTGGATGATTCCCCACACCACTGCCTACTCACCTCACCCACCACCCTTCACTGAACCCTCCTATGATGGTCTCAGATCAAGGGCTGATACCCCAGGTCTGTTGTCCTTTAGCCAGAGCTCATCTTTCCTGGAGATGCTCCCTCTATCTCCAAAGTTTCTCCAGTTTATTTCTAAGCCGAAATCCAATCCCCATAGGCAGCAACCTGCCTGTCCTCACTGAGCAGCAGCACTGCCTGCCCTGCTCCAGCTTCCTCTGCATCAGTGGGTTAGGGGAATTTTTAACTCTCTCTTGGTCTTGGAAGAGGGAAACATAAATCTCTTCAGGAACAGATCCACCTCCCTGTAGCCTTTTTGTGCTGAGGGTGGTCTCAGAGAACCACAGAATATCCCGAGTTGGACTCACTGAGTCCATCTCCTGGTCTGTGCTGCTGTGCCCTGCAGGAAAGTGCAGGTGGCTGGGGTGGCAACAAAGATCTTGATCTCCTCCTGCAGGAGTTCCCTTGGTGCCATGTCTCCTTTATCTCACTCCTGGCTTCCCAGCACACTGTCAGCAGCCCCTTGGATTTAGGTGCTGGCAGAGATCTTTGAGCTTGACAGAGGGCCCAAAGCTGCCTGTTCTTCAACCTCTTAATGAAACAAAGCTGTTCCTTTCCACTTACCCACCTCTTGGATCCTGAAGTGAAGTGATGCCACTTGGGCAGCCATGCTACAGTCCTGGAGAGGCCTCAGGAGCCTTTCAGCTCCAAATTGCCAGTTTCAATCCAGCAGCTGCAAGAGGTCCTGGCTGTTGGCACGCCCCTGAGAAGTGGCCCTAGGGACACCAGATGCCTCTGGAGGAACAAGTGAGCTGCCCTTGGGAAGTGCAGGCAGAGCCTGCCTGTGTGTCCCTGGCCATGCTGCTTCCTCAGCTCCATCCACCACCACTCCAACCACAGTGGGATGCTCTGGCACAGCAACAGTGGTAGCAGAAGTTTCCAGCCACATCTCCTCCATCCTGGTGGTGCACCAGGGCCTGTCAGGGGCACTGAGCTCTGTGACCCCCAACAAGGGCACAGGGGCAGAGCAGGGACATCCTGAAGAGCTTCCTCATGTGTCATCCTTTCCAATCCATGGAAATGTTCCTTTGTCTGAGCACTGCAAGAGGAGTCTGTTTTCCTGCACATCTTCCCAGCACTTTCAGAGCAAAGTGACACACCAGGAGACTCTGCCACAACCTGGCAGCCTAGGCTGGGGGACTGCAGGCTGGCATGCCTTGAGGGACAAGGGAAGAGGGAATCTGCCCCTGGGGGAAGGGAGCCCAAGAGATCTGGTCCTTGGCCAGTCTGGGGTAGCGGAAGGTGCTGGATCTGTTCCCCTACTTTCATCAGAACCGCCATCCTGGCATTTCCCTCCTGGGTCACGCTGCTTAAGGGTAGAAAATGCCAGTCCCAGGATTGCACCACCCAGCACTGCAGCAATGTTAAAGTGGGAAGAAACTAGGAGAAGATGGGAAATGCTCTCAGCAGAAGTCTGTGTGTTTGTCCCTGACCTGCAGCTCATGGGACATGATGTCCATGGAAACTCTCTCTGCATGTCCCCAAGCCAGCAGCTGCCCTGGAGGAAGGTGCCGCTGGGCATCAGGGGCTGTGTGCCCAGCTCACACTCCCTCCTCCCTCACAGGGAGCAGCAGGAGGCTGGGATGGAGGGCAAGGAGCAACCCAGAGGTGGTGGCACAAGGCTAGTAGCAAACCCCAGCCAAAGTGCTTGCCCAGCTACTGCCCAGGGTGGCAGGGCCATGGGGAGGGCAGAGAAACTGAAGGAGGAATTGTTTAGCAAAGTTCCTCTTCTCAACACCTGTATTCAGCAGCTGGCTGAGAGATGAGGAGCCAGTGCACCTTGTGCTGGGTCCATGCTGGCACGGCTGCCCTGGGGACTCACCAGCACATCCCCCCACAGCACCTCTGCCAACCTGGCCGGCATCTTGGGTGTCTTGTGGATGGGGAAGGGGAGGCATTGCCTCGATGGACAGATAAGATCATTTCCTGAGCCAGCCAGCACCTTTTAAACAAGTTAAACCCCGAAGCCAGGTATGGGATGGGCAGGACTGGGGTTTCTGGACCCAGACAGTCTGAAACAGCAGGATGGATGTCCCCACTGGGGCTGCCCCTTGGGAATAACCCCATGGGAGATGGGGGTGAAAAGGGCCACCAAGGGAAAGTGGTAGAGAACAGACTGAGCTCTGATCTCAGAGACAGAGATGCCAGCAGCACGGATGGGGATGGCAGGCTTGGCACAGGGGCTTGTTCCTCCTTCCAGGGGCTGATGGGAGAGCTCAGAGAGGGACAGCCCCCAGGCAAGCGTTCCCTTGCTGTTTGATCCCTGCTGCCTGATTCCTCACTGCCTGATCTCTCACTGCCTGATCCCTCGATGCCTGATCCCCACTGCCTGATCTCTCCCTGCCTGATCCTTCTCTGCCCCACTGCCCTTTTCAGTGTCCCGTGGATTTCTCCTGCATCCCTGCTCAGTCTTCTGCACACTCCCAGTCTTGGGTGTGAGCTGAGTCACTGTGATGCCACTGCACCTCATTGCAACATCTCCCGTCATCTGTTCTAGGAGCCATGAGGAGCCTGTAAATAGTTTCTTTGGCAAGATTTTTGTTTTGATCTAATGGCTCAGCTTCCTTCAAAGACAGGCATGGAGAGGCACTGCGTGAGGCAACAGGGAAGGTCATGGGGAGAGCTGTAATTGGGGAGGATCAAACTCAGGCTCCAGCAGGAGTGTGGGCAGGTGGCTCAGCCCAGGCTGCCACGAGGCTCTGGCGTGTCACCACAGGCACTGACTGTCCCAGATCCTCCCCAGCCCCACGGTCACCTGTGAGTACTTGGCTGGCTGCTGGCAGCATCTGAGACAGGGCCAGGGGCCTGGGATGGCACAGACCAAGGGCGAGACCTCCACCCTGCCATTCCCGTGGCGATCACAGCAGGATCCTGTGCAGCATCATGACATGGGACAGGGGAAGACAAACCAGGAAAGGATGAGCCCTCAGCCAGGCCATGCTTGGAGGGAAGGCACGTGCCATCCCCACGCCCAGCCGACCTGCATCATCCACGTCACCAAGCGCACGGGCGGCTCTGCTGAGGGACAACAACTTGCTAAGCTGGGCCGGCTCCTGCCTCCGAGCCCCGTAATGAGCTTTGCTGGGAGCTGCTAAGGAGATGAGTGTGAGCAGGGAAGCTTTGCTGTGGTCTGGTGGCTGCTTGGTCACCCCGGGCAGACAGGCTCCAGCTCCACTGGTGTGTGTGGAATGAGCTGGGGGAGTGCAGGGACACGGCTCCTGTCTGTGGCTCTGCAGATGGGCACCGAATCCAGGCATCTCCCACTGCAGCCCTGTGGGCGATGGCCAGGCAGTAAGAACTTCTACTGCAGTCCTCTGTCCAGGGCCAGACCCACAGCGGGGACTTGCTCCAGGTGCCCCGGAAAGCAAAAGCTCAGTTTTGGCCATTGCCAGGAGCAAAGTCACCAAGGCAGGGAGCAAGGTGTCCCCTCCCAGCTCCGGCGGTGCAGTCACGGAGCATCACTCTGTTCACAAGTGCCTATTTTTAACAGCAATGCTGCTCATTCCTGCTCCCTTACCGAGACAGCTTCACCCATGCCCTGGTTTCTCAGCTCATTTCCTCCTCTCCCAGGGCCAGCCAGGGCCCAGCAAGTGGGTACAAATGCCCAAGATGAAAAGGTCAGATGGGAATGCTGTCTGCAAAGCAGTCATGCTCTAAGCCATCACTGCAGCATTCAGCTGAGCAGAGACCTCCCCAAATTATAGAATCACCAAATTATAAAATCATTTAGGTTAAAAAATCTCTCTAAAATCAAGTCCAACCATTCCCCCAGCACTGCCAAGGCCACCCCTGAATCATGTCCCTAAGTGCCTCATCTACATGACTTTTGAACACTACCAGGAACTTCACACTTCCCTGGACAGCCAGTTCCAAAGCCTGAATTCTTTCTCTTTATTATATGGGAAAAGGCAGTGGCTGGGGGCTCCCCTCCCCTGTCTGCTGTTGCCTGGGGCGGCTGAGGGTCACCAGAGCACCCCAAATGCTCCCCAGCACTTCTCAGCCCCAAGCAGCGGCCCGAGGGGCACCTCGTGCCCCGTGTTCACACCGCAGAGCTGCCTCGGGCCGTGGCTGTCATTGTCCCCGTCCCCCCTCCCCACCCTCTTCTTCCTCCTCCCTCTCCCGCACTGTGCAAACTTTCCTCCCTTCGGTGTTCCCAGCACCAGCAGCTCCTTCTCCTGCCAACTTGGCACCGGCAGCGGGAGCAGACGGGGCTGGGCAGGGCTGGCACAGCGGGCAGGGCAGGCGACCACAGGCCACCGCGACCCCGCTCCGCTGCCGGCACTTTCATCCTTATCTGCAGCGTTCCGCCCGGCCCCTGGAGTGGCCCGGGAGCGCCGCGTTCCCACGCACGGGAGCTGCTCCCCAAAACCAGGGCACCAGGGCAGGGCCGGGTGTGG